ACATCTCGAGATAAGTAACATCAGTGGACCACTCGACCCTTGTACCATCCATTATTACGGTACAGGAGGGAGACGGTTTAAGTTTTGGTGATTGTCTGTGAAGGAACATTGATTTTGATTTTCCACGTGGTGGCATAATCAGTAAAGGTCACAGCAAAAAATAAATTTTAATATTACATCCAAGAGGATGCACTTCAATCAGGTCGAAAATCTCATGTAATGTTTATGGCCACAAAACTAAACAAATGCATTAAAAGCAGCGTATTGTCAGTTCATGCACTGTATTAATGATAATTTTGTCCTTTTTAGCAAGTGATCTTACACCATATTTTCGACACGAATGAAGTGCATCCACTTTGATGTGATATTAAAATTAATTTTTTGCTGTGGTGTCAAGGCATCGTTGGAGCTTGTTCGTAATTTCACGAGGCATCCTACCCTTGACGGCTATCGCGGTGTCATCTGCGAACAGGAAGAACACCCGGGGGGGGGGGGAGGGGCGACCCCGGCGTAGTGTTTAACATCCATACCTCTCACGCCAAAGTCACGAGTTCAAATCTCACCCCCGGACAAGTCACGAATGACCCAAGAGTGTTAAAGTGACTATAATAAAAAAAAAAAAAAAGAACACGCAACCGTCTCCTAGAGGAGGGATGTCCGACGTGTAGATGCTGTAAAGCAGTGGTCCCAGCAGACTCCCTTGCGGAACACCTGCTGGGATCGGAAATTGTCCCGAAAGGGAACTATTCAACGACACCCTGAACGACCTTTGCTGGAGATAGTTACGGGTGATTTTCACAAGGTATGGTGGAAAGTTGGAGTTACAAAGCTTGTATATAAGTCCGTCGTGCCAGACATTGTCAAACGCCTTTTCGACGTCTAACAAGGCCATGGCTGTGGACTTGGATACAGCTATGTTACTTCGGATGTTATTCATCACCCGCACTAGCTGTAGATTGGTGGAATGCCCCTTACGGAACCCGAACTGTTCCGGAAGAAGAATGACATGTTCCTCCACAAACTTGTTCAGTCGGCTGAGGATCAATTTTTCGAACAGCTTGCTCAGCGCTGAGAGCAGGCTAATCGGTCTGTAGCTTGACGGTAGTGAAGGGTCTTTCCCAGGTTTGCGGATCGGGATGATTTTTGCCACCTTCCAGATGCTTGGAAAGTAGTGCAGCTCCAAGCAACTGTTGAGGATGGCAGCCAGCAGCGAGTGGACCCTCGGATTTTTCAACGCTAGGTTGAATATTCCGTCAAACCCGGGAGCCTTCATGTTTTTACTATATTTCAGCGCTGAGCAAATTTGTTCCTCTGTAATCCGTTCTTCTGGAGGGACGGCACAAGGGGAGGTATCTAACGTCTGGACGCACTGCACAACCTGGTTCTCGAGTGGACTTGGGATTGTAGAGCCAAGCAAATGCGATTGGGCAATGTGCTCCCCAATTGCATTGGCCTTCTCTTCGTTGGTGATAAGCCGTTCGTCATTGACTCTAAGTGGTGGAATGGGCTTGGGGTGAGACTTCAGCACCTTGGCAACCTTCCAGAATGGTCTGGAACGGTCGTCCAGGTTCTGAACGAGCCGCCCGAAACTCTCGTTCCGGATTGAGACCATTCTGGAAGCGATCTGCCGATTCAGATCGACCATTTCGTATTTACGCTGCAGATCCCCAGTCCGCTGAAACTGGCGTCTACGAACATTTCTGAGCCGAATCAAAAGTTTGCTTGAAACTTAACCCTAACAGAAACTCGTCGATATGGCTTGATGGAGACCCTCCAGGGCCCGGTAGCCGTCAACGAGCTTAGGTACCTCATATTTATACCTCTAGCTGTATCAAAATTTCCGAACCAATCAGATTCCATTTACATACGGCCTATCACGCTTCACACTCACTCGATTCTACTCATTTATATGCCACACTAACTATATCTACTACAGTAGACACCCTGAATTTCTCTAGGATGTCTTCTTCTTCTTCTTCTTCTTCTTCTTCTTCTTCTTCTTCTTCTTCTTCTTCTTCTTCTTCTTCTTCTTCTTCTTCTTCTTCTTCTTTTCCTTCTTCTTATTCTTCTTCTTCTTCTTCTTCCTGACATGAGAGGGAATCATTGTTGGCGAAGTCCAAAAGGGATTAATCTTATTTATCCTCCCATCCCCCCTCGATTTGCTGCTTATCCTTTTTTTTCAAACCAGCAAATTTTCTTCGCAAGAGTTTATAATTTTCCAGAATTTGGCATAGTGACTATTCAGCCAAATGATAATGAATGACCATTCGGCCTAGTGATGATTCGGCCTGGCCGAATAACTCAGCATGTACCCTGAGCATTCAATATAACCTGTTTGATATATCTCATGATAGTTCGTGATATAAATTAAAGCTACGGACCATTTCCCCAAAACAGTAGGAACATAGAGGTCTATTTTGAAGAAGGTAGTTGGAGAGGGATGGTTAGGTGTATCCCCCACCACCACTGGCAAAAGGAATGATCGCCGATTTGCTCACGTGCCTTCGATGTGCAGAAACAGTTCTATCGATTTTTTAACACTCAAGTCGCAATCTGACGTATGAATCTATCTAGAAAAATGTTCTGATGTATTGGAGATGGGTCCGGGGTACTCAATATGACACCCACGTTATCATGTTTTAAAAGTTTCTTTGGTTTTAACATCAACATCACAAAGTTCAGAAGCTCTTCCTTTAACATATCGAGAAATAGAATCAAAAAAATTCTACACGGCAAAAAATTCTGAATTTAAATTGTGATGTAAATATATATTCACGTAAAATTGTGTTTCATTTCAAGTAAACGAGCAACTTGTAAGCAATGTTGTTTACAATGATGGGCTTTTGTATACAATATTTGCAACATTTTATGAAAAGTCCCAGAACTTAACACGGTTTATTATGTAAAGTTATATGATATAGACGCTCCTTTTATGTGCATCATATTGAACAGAAATTTACACTACCTTTTCGAACTGTGTACGTGGATCATCGATCAAAGGCGGCATTGACTTGTAGAAATATCGACTTATGGAGAGTACGATACATGGGAAAATGATGGGACCGAGTTCTAGAATATCGAGTTGTGGAGAAATGGTTGTGAGTCCAAAATCATCATAATTTTCACAACTATAAATGTTTGCAAATTATAAACTCCCTTGAATCCTAAAATTATAGTGGAAATGGCTCTAATGTTGGCCTATGGATCTAAGATTGGGCTCATCGCTAAAAACCTGCTATTCATCAATTTTATCTAGATGAACACGTCATTGGGGCGGTACTAATGGATATTTTTGGTCACTATTGAAAATTTAGTCTATTGAAGGGGCATTTAGGCCGACATTACATTCATTTCCTCTATCTTAAAGTCCAAAATATTGCAAAAAAAATGTTATGGAATTCAAATCCCTTCAAATATTTCAGTACCATTATTCAAGAAATTTTAGTCCTAATAATAATATTCAATAAAATTGTCTAAAGAATTAAATTTTAAGAATTACTAAAATTCCAGTACATTAAAGTGTTTCAGCGTTTTATGAAAAAATCAGAGTCTAAAATTTCAAACGCTACCCCCTGGAATGGTAGTTTGAGAGGTTTGAAACACCCTGCCAAAATGTTAAGTAATTTGCATCACGGGAACCTCTCGCTCAAAGGGCTTAATTTTTGTAAGGGAAAAATTGACAAAATGTATGGGGGAACGATCCATTTTCAAATCGTGGCTCTAGATGGCACTGTAGATGGTTGATTTTCTTCGTGTACAAAATGTAGTACCTTTGAAGTATTGGGAACACCTTAGCTGAAAAGCGGCTGTGAATCCGAGTTAACCCCGAAAAGTTATTAACGTTTCAAATGAACACCACCTGCCTTACTTCTGGGGAGGGCCTAACGTCCTTTGTGCGGCTTTTATTTTTACGAACAGGCATACGAAAAGTAATGTTTGCATAGGTATATTTTTTTTCACTATGGTATTGGCTGAAATTTTCACAGTGAGTATAAATTATAATCTACTGAAAATTTGAATAGATTGGCCAAGTATAATTATTTTTAAATCGTAGTCAATTTTTTTTAATTATCTTTAAAATTCACTTGCTATCCTTCTCATGATCTCCATACAATTTTTAACTGATTCACCTAGGACTTTTCCATGAAATTCTTTTCACAACCATGGAATTATTCCAATAATTACCTAGGAATTCAATTCAGACCTTCCTTTCATCTACCCTAAAATGACTGAGGCATAACATCTCTGATCACGCCTTCCTTCGGAAGGGAAGCAAAATTGTTGGTCCTCGGTTCATGAGTAGATGGGTCGATAGGTAGGGTCCAGGTGTGGAAGCCGCCTGCCTGGTGTCGCTTGGTAGAATCATTATTTTTTTATTCATATACGTTCAAAAAAGAGAGTTAAAGTGCGGATTGTCCTTTGTAGAACAAAAATTCGATCTAAAACCATATCAAAGGAGCTTGTAAAATGTGGGGTTTGTGGACGTGCGGTTAGTGACGTCACCAGTCGTTCAGGCAATTGTGATGCTACGAAGTGAGGGTTTGATTCCCGCTCCAGTCGGTGGAACTTTTCGCAACCCGGAAATTTCCCTAATGGTCTACTGGGTGTTGTGTGTTGCCCGCTGTCTAATGTTAAGTGTTCAGTTTGTGCAACCTCTGGTTGTGAAGACGATGTCAATTGTCTTTAAAGAAATCAATATCAAGCATGGATGAATAAATAAAGGACGTTAATGCATTTTGTCTTGGGCTTGTTTTATTTTTAAGACTTTGATTTACAAAAGGTTTGAAAACGAGCTTATCCTCAAACGACCGTTGTGAGACTGTATCGTTGTATTCGTTAAAAACTATCCTTAGTTTGAATGTATGATCGACACATTTACTAACCACTACTTCTCTACTTAATAAATTAACTATATTTGCAGTTTATATGAGGTTGATTTTGATTTGGAATTAATTAACAATCTTGCATACTATTATAAATCCACTTTCCGTTCCTTTCAGATAATGACCGAAAAAACTCTGACAGTCATTGCAGAGAACATTGAAAAAGTAGCGCCATCAACTGAGCATCAGCAATCTAGTCCAAAAATCATCCATCACCCACCTTCGTCACCTGGCACCGGACTTTTGCCACATAGTCCCACATTTTCCGGCCCAACAGCTAAAAAGTAAGCTACCATTCCTACCCGATCCACAGTAATCATCTTCATTATCTTTCCTCATTATTCTCAGCAGACCACAACTTCCCGTTACCGATAGCTGCGTTGGAACCTACACTTCGAAAAGTGCTGAAAACCTACCGGATGTGGTCGTGCATCAGGAGAAGGAAAAATCCCCGAATCCCAAACGGGAACGACTACGGGATAAGATGAAAGCCGTCCTCAACCCCTCCCGGAATTCCGACGACGGATTGGTATTCGGAGTCGAGCTGGATCAGGTGGAACGGGACGACAAACTTCAGGTGCCACGATTCGTCGTGGAGTGTGTGGAAATCCTCAAACAGCAGGAATACATGGAAACCAGTGGCTTGTATCGAGCGTCGGGGAACAAAAATTCCATCGAAAACATCAAGAAGAAGCTGAACGAGAGACGGTCTCCGAAAAAGTACGACTTTCTCAAAAAACAGGACGTTCATTCGCTGACCGGTTCGTTGAAGCTCTTCTTTCGGGAGCTTAAATTTCCACTGATACCGAAGGATGTGTACGAGTCGTGTGTTCAGAAAACCAAAGGTAGAGCGAAATTGAAAATTTTTCAAAGGAACAGTTGATATTTTTTTTGTTTTATCTTTTCAGATCAATCCGAAACCATTGAACAAATAAAATTAAGTATAGAAAAGATGGAACTTATCAATAGGAACACACTAAGGTACCTCATTCGTCACTTGAAATGGTAAGATCTGAGGATATCCTGGTTAATTTGGTAAGAGGTTGATTTCTAATTTATAACATTTTCAATTTCAGCGTCCATCAACATAGTGATGTGAACATGATGAACTCTTCCAATCTGGCCATCGTCTGGGGCGCGTGCCTGTTTGCCTCTACGCTGGGCCTGATGGAGAGCTACGAGAACAATGACTTAGGAAAAATCAATACGCTTGTGAAGCAACTTATCGATCATTACGATAAGATTTTCTACGGTGATAAAACGGATTAGTTAAAAGACACCAAGTTCTTATGCGTACGTTTAGGATTACTGAATGCACTGTTAATAATTTAAATTTGTTACAAAAAAAGAACAATGAACTCGATAGCATTACTTACGGAACAAACAATGCTGTGAATGAAGAAGAAGAATATCACGCCCTAATACTTTGATAACTAAATAAAAAGTAGTAAGCAAAGGTTTCCTAGGTTTTCCAAAACAAATCTACTGGAATATGACGAAAATCGTGGAAAATTTTATTCAGGCTATGAGCATTTAATAATTAATTGATATCGACTTTCTTCACTGAAAACAAATGTTACTCAGAGAGTGAGTTACTTTTACCCATTCGTATTGATCCATTTCTTAAAGCGTATGTTACTCATGCACTGAATGGCCTACGATAAAAAAAATATACGAATGAGTAAAAGTGACTCGCAACTGAGTAAAAGTGACTCACTCTCTGAGTTAGTTTCATGTTCACTGTTCCAATTCGAGCATGTTTTTGAAGAAAATCGAAGAAAATTGTCCTCTATATAATTTTTATGAGTGATCTGCATTTTTGAGAATTTGTGTAAACAGAACTCATAAAATGAGTAAGATTAATTGGTCATGTTACTAGGATGCTTAATTGGATGAAAAGAGTTAGATTTCTTATTAGCCACCCTCCAGTTTGATTTATAACCCCAAAATATGAGCCTATGCTAAAAATGATACAGATTGATGATGATTTAAGGGTTGAGCAAATAGTTTAACGTTTATATGGAGATTTTGGCGAATAACTATGGGGCTGTTATTCTAGACCGCCCCCCTCCCCCTGCGTAGACAATTGCCCATACAAAAAATAAAAATAAAATTTGTATAGGCCGTGGATAGTTGTCAACTACCCCCCCCCCCCCTAAACTGTCTACGTAGTTTATGAACCAATGGGAAATTATTGAATTTCACTTGCATCTCTAGCTTTGGTTCTAGTTATCCAAACGTTGGGATTGACATGACAACTACCAACTAGCCGTGTTGCGACATAATTTCTCGGAGTTCTTTCAGCAATAAACCACTCAGCGTTGAGTGTGTATCAGCTGAAAGAACTCCTAAATAATCTGTCGCAACATTCTTGAAAAATTCAACCTCCGTTTATGGTTTTTATCTAGCCACAACAGAGTTCTTTTAATTAATAATTTTGTCCAGCTACTGAATTCTTTTTCCATCAGATGTCACTGCTGTTGTTGGTGTGACATCTATCAGAAAGTAGACATAATCTGTTTTCCGTTAATTGTTCACAGAGGACAGTGCAGTGCAAAACATGTCTATTACCTCTATATATGCATTCAGATTAACATCCGAAGTTCCTCCTTTCTCACACATTATGCACACAAAATAGCTCACCCCTCACAGGATTTCCCGCCGTTTTCTATGAATGGGGTGTGGCAAAAGAATCTTTTGCGCAGAATTTGTAAAAAAGGAGAGACTTCGGATGTTAATCAAAATGCATATATATAGAGGTACCAGACATGTTTTGCAATGTCAGGTAGTCTGTGAGAGGGAAAGCACAAATAGAGTGTCATCAAAATACATGGCATGTTGAGAGCAAATTATCTTTCTCAAATTAGAATTTTTGGCTTTCGGGGGACTGGTAGTAAAGCAGGTAAAACTTTATGGGGAAAAATCATTTTGTCGCATGTTTAAAAATAATGTCTTGAGCTTGAGCTTGAGCTTGATTGACCGCCCACGGTTGCTACTCTGTTACTGCTAGATCAGCTGTAATTACACAGAGAACCAATAGACGATGCTTGGGACTAGCAATCATCCTTAATGTGTAAAAACTGGTGATCTTAAATTAGGCAATACCAGCGCCGGCCGCGCCCGAACACAGGTCAAGAAAGGAATAGGAAGGATTGTGTTGACATGACAATCGCTTTGATGAAAGCCGAGAACACCACTGCACTTCCACGAGGAATCACTGGGATGTTGGATAAGAGGGTTGGGTTGCAGCAGGGTTCGTTTTGGTAAACGATAAGCTGAATTGATGTCCTAACGATCATATAACGCGAAGGAGCTTGGGACTAAGCCCACGGTCTTCTGCTCAGTAAGCAAAAACGTTTGCCACTAGGCAGACGAGCACCTTTTTAATCACCGAGTTTCTGTTATTACCATGTAGTCATATTAACAAATAAAACGATTGACGAATCTTGAATGTGGATGGGCCTGAGATTAGACTCATGATGTTCTGTTCAGTAAACAAAAACGGTTGCTCTAAGGCCACCGAGCCCCTCATATCACATAATACCGTTGTTCAAATTTGTGTATCCATTCAAATCCGGAACCAACGACAACAACGAGTTTCGCAAAATACACGATACACAAGCGATTTTACCATAAATCTCTTTGATATGTAAGGACCTGGGACAGCTCAGTAAGCAGGCCACTGTAACCGACGATCTTTCAAATCCGAAAACTAAAAACTACGAAAAAGTACTTAGGCCTTCATTAAGTTCCACTTTCACGCGACGTTCAATGACAGGGTCTTATCCAGGATTACATCTGAAAAATCCAAATCTGGCCAACGCCCACCTAAACCTGTTCTAATCCACCTGAAATGAATAACGAATGGAAGACTTTGCCATGCAATAGTCTCATTCCGTGCCTTATGGCAACTTGATGATTCTATTGCGCTCATCTTCTGGCACCACCCAGGGGAAACTTGGTCCTGTACCCAATGCTTAACTTATCTCCATTCCACTCAGCTACTCGCAATTTCTTGTGATATAGTGAGCGGAATATTATTATATGAGACAATTCAATGCAAACGTCTTTCCAAATTTGGCAGATCTACAGGTAATCGGTGAGTTACCACGATAGTTGCTATTCAACAACTCGACAACGTCCCATCGTCAACGCCTGCTATGAGAATTTCCCATTGCAGACGCCAACAAAATAACGTCATCGAGCTATCGATCAACTGCCCTGTTTATCGCCTGGTACCTTATAGCACGATGCTAGGAGGCGAACCGGAAGAATCGATGAGCTACCTCTCCCCCTGTCGCTTGTTTGTTGTCTTGGAAAAACTGAACGACAAACTCTCTGACTAATTTCTTTAGGTTGTCGTCAGTGCTGCAAAATCTCGACAGTACACGGTGATATTGACAATTCTGCTTTGGTCACTCATTGCAGCCAGCAGTCATAGTCAAGGCAAACCATGTCAATTGTCAAAGACAATGCTGTCAGTGACGAACATGTGCAGATTTATTTATTAGCTAACTTTGTATCGAAATTAAATGACTTGAGCAAAACAATTACATGGATCAATTTTAGTGAATAAGTATCTACGTCCTGAGCTACTTGGATAACAATAATGTGACACAGAATGTACTAAATTACACTTTTTGTTACCAGGTGAATCTTTGTCTAAGAAAATTTTGTTGAATCTTTGACAAAAAAAAGGAATGAGATTTTGACGAAGGTTTTTTTGAGGATCAAGTCTGTCAGTGACTATGTAACGAACAATTTAGTCAATATCGCGCGAAAGTCTGTCAGTGACAATGACAAATCTCAGCACTGGTTGTCGTTCACTCTTTTGACCTGAATATGCACCGAAAGATAATTATTACCGTTTCTCTCAATTTCGATATAGGGATTTTCATCACTTACTACCAGAGGACAGTGCCATCTCTGTGGAAAATGGCAGGACGATATGATTAACTATAAATCTAGCCTCATAAATTCAAATTATTTCACTGTAATTCTACGATCCATAAATCCGAAGTTTCTTAAACAACACTATCATTACTAATCAAAGCAGTTTTGTTAACATTCTCTTTAATCTCGTATCCGCTTCCTCCTCTTGTGCTTCCCGTATCGACCGTTTGGTGTAACGCGGCGCATTAGCTACCATTACTGGTAACCGTTACAAGGGGCTGGTGCGGTGAACATCCTCTCCCGCGTGTCACCATAGCCTCCGGTTTGGCGAGACCAGAATCCTCCACGTCCATCACAGCCAGTTTTGCCACAGGTCTCTTCAGAATCCCTCCTGATGTTAGTACTTCTGCCCGGCGAATCACTCCACCCTTACCAGGGTCAACTGAACTACTCGTCCTCTCATTCAACGGTTCCTTACGTTCTTGTCTACCACGAATATTAAATCACTTTCCCGAAACCACTTTGTTCGCCGAGTGATGGTCGGCAGGTACTCCACTATCCAGCGTCACAAGAAGTTATCGAGAGTATGCTGCACCATGTGTCAGCTATTCCGCAAGGCCTGTCCATCGTCCGTCGGATTTTTCTTTGGCTCACGCACTCCGTTGGAGCTCAGCAGCAAAAAATGATTTGGGCTCAAAGATTCGCAATTGGCTGTTTCCAAGAGAATGAAGGTAAGCGGATGCGAGTTGACCATACTCTCTGTGGACTACTGGAATCGATCCTAGAGCAGATTTTACAGCCCGAACCATCCTTTCCCAGCAACCGCCCACGTGCGGGCCGCCACTGAGTTTCCGTATTGGTGAACGTGCTGCTCAGCTTGATGTTGATCTTCTGGACTTCGTCCACAAGTTCCCGACTCACTCCAACGAAATTAGTTCCGTTGTCGGTGTAGATTTCACGGGGGGAGCCACGCCACGCAATGAATCGTCTTATTGTCTTTTTACAGGAATCCATGGGTATTTATGGCGCCAACCTCGAGATAAGTAGACCGAACGGTGAGACGTACGTGCCGTACCACCGGTAGTGGTCCCATTTTCGGGTTGACGGGCGTCGCTTTTGTAAACGTGACACCACATGCCGCGTTTCCTGATTAGTCGTTGCTGAACCCTCGATTTCAGAGCACGGAACTGTTGACGTGTACCTCGTTGACTACCGTTTCGTCATTTGCGTGTACGTTTTTCCGATGTTAATGGTCCAACAGCAAATCCGTAATGCGATGGTTCCTGGGTAGAATAATAGGAAACTCCGGAGTGATTTGTGATTTTGGCGTAATTGCATTTGTAAACAAACACGTCAATCGCTGATTTAACGCGAATAATAACTCAATCTCGTTAACTAACTATGCCAAATGATAGAGGAATAATGTCTCTACATGATGTTGTTATTATTTTTTTTTAATCGAGCCTTTATTCGTAAGACATCTTAAATTGAAGTGTTTGCTTACAAATGCAATGACGCCTAAATCTCAAATCACTCCGGAACTTTGCGTCGTAGGACAATATCTGCGCCGCTGCAGCGCGACTTCCCACCCGCAGCACTCGTTGTTGGCGAACGGTGTCAGTTTCGCAATCCCGCTTGATGAATGCACTTGCTTTCCGAACGCACTTTGGTCATCCCGCTTCTGCTTCAAAATTGTCACTTCCTCAGGAAACGCTTCGGATTGTGCCACCTGCCACAATATTCGTTCTGACATCTGCAGTTTTTGCTGGTCATTACCACCGTGTCAGCTCGTTCCGTGCTTAGGGTACGCAGATTGTCAATAAAGTCTAAAATGAATGCCATATAATGCAGTTGTCGTTCATACTTTGAAAACCTCTCAGCATCCACCATTCGTTGCCCGACCGAATTATTGCAAACGACCGCGGCTCGAAGTTCTTTCTCGCTTTCATCAACATTCTCTTATTCGGAATCAATCAACCATTCTGCTTTGCATTCGTACAAAAAATCCTTTCCCTGAAACCATCGGCTCTCTATGTTGCAAGAAGGGCCTTTTCCCCACTTGGTTGCTTCGTCTGCTACGTTGACCTTGGTTGAAATCCATCTCCACTCGTCGACACACGATAAACTAAGTATTTCGTCGATTCTGAAGGCCAAAAACTGGTGATATCTACGCACTTTGGATTTTATCCATGAACTGGGCGTTTTTTAAACTTCAGCATGTGATTCCGTTTTATCGTTATCCGCAAACGAGCTTCTACCAACGCTGCCATCAATTCCAATCGTGCTTTCGAAAGTGCTCGGAGAGGCGCAACTTTGATTTTCGATGCAACTAGTGCGACTCTGATATGTCCTTTGTCCACTATGCGAAATTATCCTACAGCAGTGAGTACTGCCATCTTCGAAAACATGTAGTTCCAGGGATTTGTAGCTGTCAGTATCGTACCCTGGAAATAGCAACGTAGAATGCGTAATCCATCAATTTCCTTGAGTACTGCAAGCCACTCCTTCAAACGCTTTGCGATCTCTTCCACCTTGCCATCAGAACCAGTGTCTGTCCGCCAAACGTCCTGTATCAGGATCTTTCCATGGACTACGAACGGAACCACTTAACCCAATGGATCATACATACTCATGACGACTCGTAGCATTTCTCTCTTCGTGGAAATTGTGGGAGCTTCCACCAGGTTTTGAACTCTCTCGCAAAATTGTATCGAGAATGCGAAGACATCTCCCTCTTGCAACCACGCCATTCCTAGCACGCGCTCGTATCCAACCTTTTTATTCTGTTAAGTTCTCTCAACTGCTCCAGCACATTTTTGTCACTCGACATCCAATTACGGATATGAAAACCCGCACGCATGTGCACTTCGATCACTTCCTTGGCCATCTCGAACGCTTCTTCCGCTAAATCGAAACTTTCCACGTAGTCATCGACATAGTGTCGCTTTGTAATGGCCGGTGCTCCTCTCGGTAGTTCCCATTCTTGGTCCGATGCGTTCAGGTTCTTGATGTACTGTGAGTGTGCTGGAGAGCTGGCCGCTCCGAATATTGCCACATCCGAAACTATGATGCTCATTGGTTGCTCGGGCGAATCTCTGTATGGAAACAGAAAAGCACTGCGGTCCTTGACATCTGCTGATACTGCAACTTGAAGTTCCCGGTACGGGAACAGTACGGACAATAACGGTGCCAGGAGATCCGGACCAATTCAAAACCATTGAGTTTAGCGATATGCTTTCAACGTTCGATGCAGTATCTCAGATAACTGTGACTTACCCAGACTTGTTTTCATTTACTACTACTCCGATGGGAAGGGACCAGGTACGCCGAATATCAATGTATGTAGCCTTTGGACTTGAACTCTGCTATTCGACAACGGACACTGTCGTACAGATCCGGATTTCGAGCTAAGCGTTTTTCAAGGCACTTAAAATGACGCTCCGCCATTGGTCTGCTGTCTGGAAACTCAATGTTGTCGTTCTTCCAAAGCAATCCTGTCTCGTACTTCCCACTACTGGTACGCTGCGTAGTTTCTTTCAGGATCTTGTACGGCCGTTGCTATTCTACCCCTTTCACGGCCGGTACCATGGCTACGCCCTCGTCCTCAAAAAAGTATCTGACGTAATCGTATAGATCTACATGTAATGATCCTGCGCACATATGTAGTTGTCTATGTGGCATTAGACTGATGCAAAATTTGAAATTTTCGCTCCACAGTGCTCAAACGGTTCCAAATTGGGCCCTGATTAGCATCCCAAAATTTAAACTCATTTAGTTAGAAACTGACTTGGCACAAACCATTTGAAGTTTATATGGGAATTACTATGGAGAAACCATAATTTCGGTTCATATCTATCTCAATATTCACCAGTTCACTCTACTTTAGAAAATGATAGCTCAGCTTGCTGCAAATTTTCTCAGCAACAACTTTGTTCAAAACCACTTTTCGATCAAATACAAGGAACAAAAATTATTAATGATTCAAGTCACTGATGTCTTATGATTATGCTCAATCAACTGTTCAGCAGGCAATATTGGTGTTTATGGCGCGTAGAATAGAGGACAAAAATCATGGCTACTATGTCACACTGCAGAATACAGTGTTGCCCATAATACAGTTGCTTAATCTTGCCATAAATTTTCAATCTCTTAAACAATTAATAACTATTTAATTTGGCGTTTGGCTGAAAAATGATTTTCTGCAAAGTTGTAGCTGATAAAAATTCCCATACGAATAGCAATGGAATTTGTTAACAGTAGAATATGTAAAAAAGAGTAGACGACAATGAACAAAAAGTTTTGTTTTCCCATAGTAATTTCCTTATAAACTTTAAATGGTTTGTGCCAAGTCAGTTTCTTATCAAATGAGTTTAAACTTTCGGAGGCTAATCGGGACCCGATTTTAAACCGTTTGATCACTGGGGAGCGAAAATTTCAAATTTTGCATCAGTGTAATGTGGCATACCTGTTTTTGGCATGCGTAAGCTTCCATATACGGCCCAACCAATCCTAGTTCTGGTCGCGATCGGCTCATCCGACTTTCCTTCTCGAAGTTTCAGCGTGGCAAGCAGATGGGAATAACTGAGTCCTATAAGCATTCCTGCTACAGCTGATTCGAAGCTCTTCACCGGGAGTTTGCTTGGGTTAGGAAACCTTGACGAGAACTCCTCGAAGCCCAACGTTTGTTGAGAAAGTCCTAAGTTGTCCACCGTGTACACCTCCGATACCTTGAACCGTTTGTTTCCGTCAGCTTCGTTGTTGTTGTGATGAAATTGGTGTTGTTTTCTGGTACATATTCGACTATCAATTTACCCTATTTTTTTCGAAAATTAAAAGGTCGATGTTTTGTGGTTTTTTATGTCCAACAAAAAATGTTTTTGCACGTTAATTTTCTTTAAAAAAATTGAAAAAAAAAATTGTTAAGATTTTTTATATGATATTTCCAAAATTTTCATATTTTTTTTTTTTTTTTGAGCGGTGAATTTCCCCTTAAGATATCTAACACTTTTTTTTTAAATGGAGCACCCTAGTGTGGACTGAGTAAGGTTTTCACGAGTTTCCATCTATTTTGAGTGCCATCTGCTCAAATTTGGGTTAATTTCATCGGCCGTGTACTTTTCTCACTTGCACGTAACATGCCCAGACCATCAAATCACGGCTGCTGAGATTTACTCAGTGCGAGAGCTACTTTTACACAGTTGATTCAGAAATTTCAAAAACCACGGTTGCTCACACGGAGAAAAAATACTACCCCTTCTCACTTGCACTTTTACTGTTGTCAAAAAAGGAACGAGAGATTCAACCCAACGATATAGTTCAGCCCAATAAGTTGATTTTGGGTAAATTCTCAAACTTACTTGAATTAAATTAAATTTTGGGTAGAATATACTTAAAAGTAGGTAATTTTCTTGCTGGTGTTAAATGGAATCAACTATATGAATTTAGTCAAATTTGGGTTATTGGGCTGAACCCGGTAATTGAGGGCAAAGTACTTAATTTTGGGTAGTTTTTCATCTGCGTGCAATGATGGGTAAACGACGGCACACGCAAATGCTGAACTCACTTTCCCCTGCTCTTATTCCTCCTTTTCTTAGAGATTCAAATAAATAGCAACGATCGGGAGCCAAAACAAATCCGACAATTTTGGGAGAGTGAGTGAATTTAAGTTTGGATTCGTGCAGTGATCTATTAAAAAAATGATAAAATTGATGAAATTTAAGATTTTGGATCCATTTTTAAAGTCGATTATGAATATTTATTTACCTCAATGTATTTAAACAACCCAATTGGATTCTTTAGGAGTATTGAGCTTATTATATATTCGTAATTTGCTTTAAAAATGAAACCAAACTCAGAAATTTCTTCAATTTTTTTGCACTGGAACTAGCTTAAATAAGTACGATTACATCAGCAAAAATAACCATCTTAGTGCCTCTCGGTGAATGGAGGATCTTTCTATGGGAGCGTGCTGTTAATGTGTTAATTCTATGGGATCGAATAAAAAAAAAATCATTGTGCTTAGAAACGAAGCTCTTTCCGATTATGTTTAAAAACCGATATATGAACCCCCTTTTGACGTAGAACTACGTCTTTGTCGACTATACTGGGGTGCAAGTCAAAAAATATGTGTGGTGAAGTGTTAGGTTTTGAACGCTTGTAACTTTGTCATTTATAGATGAAATTAAAATCCAAATACGCCAATCGATAGGATATTACATTACGAACCTGTTGAAATAAATATTTTTCCAATTTTTCTGTAATTAAACTTTTGAAAATGTACAAATGATAATTTTATCACTGATTTCATGAAATAAGCCTTTTTTCCCAAACCCAGTCATCATAAACGAATACCACTTGGTTGCACATCATTCTGCTTGAACCTGAAAAGATATAAATCAGCGCTGCTCTCATGCCACTGCTCATTAACGCTTCGGACGGCGTGGCGCTTGGTCCTGCAGCAAGCAGGACCAAATCAGCGGCTTAAGGTGGATCACGGCGTGACCACAATGAGGAAAAGCAAAAATGTAAACCCTCCGCCCTTCACAACAATCTCTCGCCCCCCCCCCCCTCAACAACCTCTCGCCCCTTTAACAACCTCTCCTACCCCCCCCCCACCATCAAACCTCTCCTACCCTTCTCTCCACCTACAAACCCTTCCTACCCCCCCCCCCCTCAAATACCTCTCCTAACCCCCCCCCCCTCAAATACCTCTCATAACCCCCCCTCCCTCAAATACCTCTCCTAACCCCCCCCCCACCAACAAAAAATAACCCGAAAGTGAGACAGACTTTGACGATCCCTTTTTTCCGGGAAATAAATTTTAAACATACCACAATCATTATTAAAACCAAGTTTGACCAAATTTGAACAAAAAATTGCTTTGAAGACATGTTTGATGACATTCAGTTGGTGAATTACACACAACTGACGGTAAAACATATCTGGTGCCAAAGTCCATCCTATTTTACATATTCTGCACAAAAGAAACTTTCTGCTCCGCCCCATTCATAAAAAAAACTGCGGGAAATCCTATCAGGTTCTGAACCGGAAAAGATATAAAACAGCGCTGCTGTCATGCTTTTGCTCATTGTCGCTTCGAACGGCGTGGCGCTTGGTCCTGCAATAAGCTGGACCAAATCAGCGGCATAAGGTGGATCACGGCGTGACCACAATGAGGAAAAGCAAAAATGTAAACCCCCTCCGCCCTTCACAACAATCTCTCGCCCCCCCCCCCCCTCAACAACCTCTCGCCCCTTTTAACAACCTCTCCTACCCCCCCCCCACCATCAAACCTCTCCTACCCTTCTCTCCACCATTAAACCCTTCCTACCCCCCCCCTCAAATACCTCTCTAAACCCCCCCCCCCCCTCAAATACCTCTCCTAAACCCCTCCCCCCCCCCCTCAACAACCTCTCGCCCCTTTTAACAACCTCTCCTACCCCCCCCCCCACCATCAAACCTCTCCTACCCTTCTCTCCACCATTAAACCCTTCCTACCCCCCCCCCTCTCAAATACCTCTCTAAACCCCCCCCCCTCAAATACCTCTCCTAAACCCCTCCCCCCCTTAAAAAACATCTCCTAAACCCCTCCCCCCCCTCAAATACCTCTCCTACCCCCCCGCCCCATAACAAAAAATAACCCGAAACCGAGACAGACTTTGACGATCCCTTTTTTCCGGGAAATAAATTTTAAACATACCATCCTAGAAGGGACGAATATCAACATCACCCAACGGTTCTTTCGGAACCACAACATCAAACGGCCCTTTTAAGGGCCACAAATAAAATTAAAAGAGTTGATTTTAAAACTTAATTGCATATAATGGAAATTCAAATAGTTACCAGTGTCAATATATAACGGCTTGTTTAGGACCATACATTTGAACTTTCATAATTTATTACATTCCAGGAAAAATACTTGAACCAACATTGAACACTAACAAAATTTCAAATATTGTTTTTATGTGTCCCACACATGAGTTGTTGCAACGTGATCAACAAATCAATATCTATGTGTCGGCCACATACTTAATATATGTATGTACATATAAAAACCATGCGTGACCACACATACTATTCATTTGCGTGTAAATTTCATGTGTACTTCTGAGTGGATTCTGTTTATGTGTGGTCAAATGAAAATCATGTGGAATTTCACATGGATATTTGTCAAGAAAAATGTGTAAATTGTTTTGAGTCAACCATAACCGAAACATTGAAATACTTGAAAATTTTAAGGTAAAGTATAATAGTCAAAAATGCATGAAAAACATCAATTTTGTCATACTGCGGTCGTGTCTAGGACACAACCCTTTACTTTTTTCCAATAACGATTAAGTTTTAATCAACTGGTTAGTGTACAACGATCCTGTAAAGGTATAACTTTGGTTGAACATATTGCACGCAACATGGCGTGCAACTAACCGCTGCAATACTGGTCTAGATGAAAATTAACTTTAAAATCAGCAACCGTTGTCCACGTTGCCTGTCCTGGTTTTCACATGCAACAAGTACATATAGCTATATATGTATTGGCTGTAGCCATTAAGAATAAATCAGAGAGAGAGCCACTTCTCCTAAGAGGAATGGAGAAATTCTAAAAACTGCAGGAACTCAGCAGT